CTGCACTGCCACTCACTGACCATTCCTGCACTGCCACTCACTGACCATTGCTGCACTGCCACTCACTGACCATTCCTGCACTGGGCTGCAGTGAACGTTCAGCCTCCCTGCCCAGCTGAGCACACCTGTTGAGCTCCCTGATGGCGCGCAGCCTGCGGATGTAGCGGCGGCAGCTGGGCAGGATGGACAGGTGATGGGCGTGCAGCGTCAGGAAGAAACATTCCGTGGGGAATTTTGGCTCACAAAATGGAGACGGATCCCTGTCTGAAAACCAAACAACAGTAGAGGTGAATAAATTAAAAAATGAACTGCTTTATCTAGGGTGAGACCTCAAATACAACTTTCTTTAAAACAAGGAAAAGCAGAGAGCATCAAGAAAAGGGATTTAGGAAGAGGGAATTCTTTGCTGGAATCAAGTTCTTCCATGTACCTCCATACCAGAGGGCACAGAAACGCTTAACAGATCTCAGTAAGAGTACTAACAAAGTTCAGCAGTCCAGGCTGCAAACTCCTCCATTGTTGCTTTCACTCTTGTCTCATCTGTGGGAAGCTCGATTCGACACCTGGGGTGGAATATGTACATGGGATCAACCGTTTCCAGCTTTATCTTCGTACTCAGTTGCTGCAGTACCCAGAGGAAGTTGAGCATGAAGCCATCTGTGGACACCAAACGATCATCTGTCTGTGGGGGGACAAAGCAAAGGGCTGAGGACACGAGCTGAGAAGTACAGGGGCACGTACAGTGCCAAAATCCCAGCCCTGTGGTTTCACTGGAGCCAGGCCATTCCATATCTGCCCTGCTCCTTGCACAGAGCCCAGACAAAGCCCAGCACTTCACCAGCTGGGAAAGCAGTGTGTTAAACACAATCACTTGGAATGATGCTCTCAGAAATGGGGCAGGGCAAGTACAAAGCTTTGAACATCTAATATAGAAGCCCTGTTTAATGAAGTGACATCTCAGTTCTAAGAAAGGAAATAAACTGTTAAAATAGGTAAAACAGATTAATTTCAGAAATGGAAAAATATATTGAAACAAGACAGGGCTTCTTGCCTGTGGTAGCAGACACTCAAAATTCTTTTCTGCCTCCATTCCAGACCACCATTGCATGAGCCATCCAGTGCTATTTGTGGCTGGATGAATCACAGGAAGAGCATTTCCCTTTATTTACCTGCATTTGGGCTTTCTTCATGTTGGCATTGACCACAGCTGCCATGTAGCTGAGAGCAGCCTCCCGGGTGTCCCCGTTCAGCAGGATGCTGTGCAGGATCTTGAACAACTCTTGCTGCAATTGCAAACAAACACCTCTCAGCATCACAGTCCTGCTTTCTGTTTGTCTGCATTTTTATGTTCTACAAAATCCACAAAACTCAGTAAAGCTTCTCTTATAGGCTTATTGGCACTTTTATATGCATATATTAGTTATGACCTTAGTTAACCCAAAGATGTAAATACAAGACTAGTGCAACACATTACTAACACAGCATGTATTTACTCTCCTTTAACATGATCTGCAACTCATGACTAACTGATCTGATATTTTCTGAATTGGCTTACAGCCTTAGACAAATATTCATAGCATTCTAATTTTTTTCCCCAATTCATTTCAGCCATATCCTGAAAGATCTGTGGCTTAAGACAGAAGCTAATTTTTTAAGATTATATTCTTCATCTATATCAAGAGCAAAACCTCCACTTTTATGCTTTTTTTTTACAGAATAAGAATACTGACCCTTGCTAATTCCAGGTAATGCTGCAAAGACTGGCTGACAACCCGGGTGTTCTCCAGAGTAATGGCAGGCCCTGAGAAGTACTTCTCAACTACTTTGTTCTGAAAGTAAGATGAATATTGGCAAATGTATCAAAATGTTCTGGGGAAGTAAAAAAGCCCCTCACAACAAAAGAACCCCAACATGCTATTGCCAACATCCTTCTGTGACACTTACATCATCTTCAGCAAAGACAGACAGACTGAAGAAGGCTCCAAGGTAGGAAAGTCTTTGCAGTTCTCTTCCTGCACCTGTGCTTAAAGATTTAGGCAACCACAAGGGCAAAGAGACAACCTAAAAATAGGAGAAACAGCAAGTTCTTCAAAGCTGCTGTGTCAGCCATGCTGCTCTGTCACCTTCCAGTGTCTGCCACAAACCCTGGAACCTCCAACACCCAGCCATGCTGGTGGCAATGGAAACATCTCCTCAGTACTCCAGCAACCCAAGCAACTTGTGTTTGTCCCAGTTTTAATAAATTCTCAGGGTAAAGGACTCCCTCTACCAGCTTAATTTAAACTATTGTTTTGCATGAGAGCTCCAGTAGCTCTTGCTTAGAGTTCTGGAGAACATTATCAACAGGGATTGTGCAACACCACCAAAGTAAGTGACATGGTTCTTTTGAGTTTTGGAAAAACTCAGACTGGAGACACTCACCAAACTGCACATGGGGTGTGTTTTCCCAAACTTGATTTCACAGAGTTCACATAGTGCCTATAAAGAAATCCCAGTAAAAATTACTTTTTTTGAGTAATTCTTAAGTAACCTGTCTGCAACAAACAAGCTTACTATGACAAACTGCTGAAAGAGCAGAACCCTTCTCTCTTGACCAGTGGAAAAACTTCACAATCACAGTGAAGATGTCCCAAAGAGAACTAAAGCACACCCTGCTCCCATTTTAGTTTTTATGTCTGCTCCAAGTTGTCTCAAAAAAACCAACAGGTCTCACAGGATAACAATTTATTGCACTTATTTCAAGAATTAGCTGTGCAGAAATTGTTGTTTGCTCAGAACATGACAATGCCTGTGCTGGACTCCTGACCTGCCCCATTAAAACCAGTAACAATACTAAATAGAGTAATTGTTTAATTCATACACCAAGGCCTTTGTCTTCTGAATGAGAGTGGAAAAAGGTCAAATGAACACAGAACCCAGAACAAAGAATCCCATCCAAGATCTCCAGCTCGCTTTCAACTGCAGCACAGAAAGAAGCAAGCAGTGGTAACAGAATTCTGGAAACACAAAGCTGCTGCTGGCTGTCCCACCTGTCCTGTGTTCATGTTCTCCCTGTTATACTACACTGAGTGACAACTATCCCATCCTTTTGTGCCATCTACAGATAAGGAAAACACAGACTCATTTTCAAGAAGTCCTTCTTTGCAGCAATTCAGAGATTGGGAGGATAACAAAAGAGCAGGAAAGCACAAAACCAGAAAAACGAATATTTTTTGCCAAGTACCAGAGTTAGTCAGTTTGATTTGCAGCATCCCAGTCCAGCTGATTTCCCTAAGTACAAATTAAACCTGAGAGGCAACAGCCTTTTTTGGCATCATACACTGAAGATCCTAAAAGGATCTGAAGGTGATAAGCTGACAATGCTCAATTTACCAAGAATCCAACTTGTTCTTTGGTACCAAACACACTTTGCCACACTTCGTTCATGTTATCAGGGAATATAAAGAAAGTGCTTCTAGAAATGGACAGTCCTTACCATAAGGGGATATTTAAAATTGTCACTATCGAGGGAGCACTCTTTGGAAGCCACAGCCAGGCCTTGTAAGATGGGAATAAAGATCTGCAAAAATACAAGTAAATTACTTTACTCAATTAAAGGAAGCAATCAAGTGACTCTATTGCCATACAAAGCATGAAATGCCTGTTCATTCTTCAAATACACAAAACAAAAACTAAGATTTTTAAAAATTTCTATCAGTTAAGCCTGAAGGCTTTAGAGAGTATTCAAACTAAACCCAACTTGTTTGCTGCAGTCTAAGCAATGGGGTGTTGCTCATTGAGTTCCCTGCAAGTTCTGTGTTGCAGACACTGTACAGGTGTCCAAGGCTCTGGACAGGTGTCCAACAACCTACTGCCCAAATGGGGAGTCAGCCACTTGTCTGCACACTTGGGGCAATAGCACAGCTCTCATTTTGCATCATGTGTAAGTTGGTAAAGATAATAAGCAGCAGTCAAGGGTTGTTAGGAAAGAGGAAGTGACTTGACAGGAACTTATTAATCAGAAGTAATTATACCCATTTAGTAAGTCCCAATCACACAGTTCTGACAACTACATCCTCACAAAATAAACCCATAGTAATTTTGCAACAACAACAACAGCAGCAGTCCCACTGAATTTTAAAGTATATGGTGTTGCTCCTGTGAAGAGACAAATTATTATTAAAACATATTCCAGAAAAGCACTATACAAATGGCCATGTGCTTCAGCTCCAGGAATGCTTCTCTTCTCCAGGGCAGGACCTTGAACACTTTTACAACTGCTTTTTATCCATCTTAAATGTACTTTCAACTACATGAACCTCTACTAAAAGGAGTCCAGACTGAAACATAAATTATTAACAGTTACTTGCATTACACATAAAAATTATCTAATATCATTCTTTGCAAAACTGGAAGGGTCAAATGCCATTTCAAAGGGCCCTTTACAGTCAAATCACACCCTCCTATGGGAGTGCTAATTAGAGACAATTACAATCTTACTGATCTGCTTTTACAGCATACAGGCTAGAAATTTGCTAGTTTTGTATCTTAATTATTTATTATCTCAGTGAGCTACTCTCACAGAACAGACCATCTCATTTTTCTCAGACATTTCCTCTGTAAACATGAAGAATTACTGGACTAAGATCTGTAAAGTGCTCTTAGCACCTTAGATAAAATTTATTAAAGATGCAAAGAAGGGTAAAGATTGCAAGATGGAAAACACCATAAATCTGAGTAGGATTACAGAAAGCTGCTGTCTTAACACAAACATTTTTAGGAATTTGGTACAAAAGGATGAAAACTAAGATCAGCCCAGCAATATATGCCTGCACATTCCAAGTAGTCCACTCCTACTTAGTGCTGCTACTCATTAGAAAATGCACTTTTAATACTTAGAACCAGCAAATACTGAAATTCAGCCTTTTTCATAAAATGCTAAATGAGTTAAAAGAAGAATAAAACCAAACTTCAATTGCTTTAACTTTATAACTTTAAGGCTGCTAGTCCTAGAGGTAATGGGTAGAGGACTATGAGACACTGACAAAAGTCAGGAAATCCACTCTCTTGGATACTGCAAATTATCAAACCATGTGCTACAGCTGTTTTTTACCTATGCCTTACCTGTTTGAACACCTCTTCATCCTGGTAAGTGGTTCTCACCAACTCTTGAATGAAGCCAAATGGGAGATTCCTACACAGCATATATGGTACCAGCAAAGACTGCTGCTGCAACGACCTGAATTTGCATTAAAAAAAAATATTAAAATCTACTGCAGTAGTGCTCACAAAAAACATCAGAGCAGTCACATGCAAGATGTGTCTGCAAGCACATTATCAGTGTCTGGATACATGTGTTCCTTTCAGAAGTAACTAATCTTGTCTGCTCAAGTTACTTGGGGAAAGGTTATTCTCAAAGAGATGCTGCCAACATCACACTTGAGTTAACAAGGCTGGAAGAAAACAACAGCTTCTCTGTAATAACTGGTTACCCCTTCTACCCCCTCTAATAAAAACCCAACCCTTTGTTAAGCTCAACTGGTGAAGGAACAATATTTTTACATGAGTTTTTCCAAATTAAAAAGAACATAACATTAGTCTTTTCTGAATTAATGCTGTCATCACTTTTAACATCACTTTTAACTCCTTAGCAGTTTGAAAGAAGTGTCTCTTCTCTTCTCAGCTCCTGATCCCCCATTTAAACTGTTCACATCACCTGGCTGATTTTACCCAAATGCAGTTAGAAATCACTCAAACTGCTCCCCACCAACTCATCACTTGGAAAGCAACAAACTATTCCTCTGGCACATAATTCCTCAGCTCCAACAACTGAGCCCAGTTTTCTAATCTAATCCTGAGAAGGAAGAAAGGATGCTGGGACAGTCTAACTGTCCTGGTTAACATTTACCTTGGTTGTGTCAAGGATCCCTGGAGCACCAAAGCAGCGTGTGAAATGCACTGGGATCGGATGTTGCTCAGTAACTGGCTAACTGTTGGCTGGCTACACATCTGAGAAAAATAACTTCATTTTAATACAAATCAGAAATTAAATACAGAACACACAGGAAAGATGATAAATTTATTTGTGCAGTATACATGTAACATGCAAACTAAGATAAGAACTACTCCAGTTAAAACCTTCCAGATTATAGATAGGTAGTGTTGGTTGGTTGTTTTTTCCCCAGAAGCAAAAGCCTGGAGTAGGGAATACAGAACACTGACAGGGAGCTGATCTCATAAAAATGTTTTACCTGGAATAAACTTGGATAAAATGTAGTTGATCAAAAGGGAAATTATGATTTCTAAGAGTGCTTATTTAGGAGATAAAATATATCCATCACTCAAATTTGATGAATTAACAAGAGCTGAAGGACCCCAATGAATTCAATGAATCTATTTCTACAGCAAAGCCATCAAGAAATATCATTCCCACTGAAGAGTCAGAGGAGTGTTTGTGACAGCACTGACACCACCTCCCTCATCTCAAACATACCTTTGGTGCTTTTCTCTCCTCTATTCCAACCCTGTCAAAACACTCAATGAGGTAGTTCAGCATCTCTGTCTCCTTGCAGTTCTCAATGGTGAAGTGGTCACTGCAGGAATCGGAAACACTCGAGCTGCCAGAGCCCCCCACACTTCAAAACACACAAAAAACAGAAACAAAGCTTTAGGTAGAGTTCTTCACTCCTGCACAGTCAAACAATTCATCAGCACTCCTCTGTCAATGCTCTGAACACTCCATCCCATCACACACAGATGAGGGATTCAGCCATTCCTGTGATCTGTGGAGAGCTCTCCACACAGTCCAGCCCTGGGAGTTCAGAGCTGTAAATGCCTTCTTAAATAAGTGCCTGAAAGACAACCACAAGGTGATAACTCTGATGGGAACCAGGGAATCCTGGTCTCACAATGCAGCAAAGAAAACAAACAGCCTTTGAGTGGTACCTGACACTCAGGACACCACAACCCTTCCATGCCACCACTCAGAATGGCAGAAATGCCAAAATTCTGTTAACAGCACCAAGCCCCAGGAGCCCCCACTGCTGAGAAGAGACCTGGGCTGACAGACAGGGCTCCAACAACCACTTCCAGTGCTCTAAGGAAGAAGAATCAATAAAACAGAGGCAATGCATCCAAGCTGCTGCTGCTTTTGACACTCCCTCATTCAAGATCATTTCATTTCAACTCAGTAAAATACAAAATTTCATTAAGCAGCACAGCCTCGGTGGGGAAAACACTGATATTGTAAACACAAAAACTAAACCCACAAAACCAAGATCATCCTTGAGATGAGAGGGATTGAACACAAAAGTGAGAACAGACCCACAACTCTGAATCTCAGACTTCTTATCTCGACAAAATTCTTCTCTATATAACAGCTTGAAAAAGCTAATTAAAAGCAACATCCTCATTTTACAGAAGAGACTAAAGACATGATATATTCACTTTATGTAAGTGAAATCTAAAAACCAGCAATTACTTGGATGGTCTGCTGTAATTGTCACAGAAAAGTCTGTGTACAGTCAGGACAGATTTGAATGAAGACCAATTTATAAGCCCCAGATCTTAATCTGGAAAATAAGACTACTGGTTTCCTTAAATGCAGCTTTTTAAAATCATATTTAAAACTACAAACCGTCAGAACTGGAGTTTCCTTTAAACTGTAAAATAATTTACATTTCTATACTTGAGCCACACAAATCTATTGTGCAAACTTTACAGTCCAACAATAAATCCAGGAAAGGTTATTACTGTTCACATGCTGAGCTACCAGATGCTTAAGAAACACAACATTCTAATGGCAGCAATCTCTGTTTGCAGAGAGATGTTTTCAGTTATTCAATTAAAACTAATCCATGTAAAACACAGCTCTATTGAAATAGTGCTCAGTAACCACAAAATCATGCACATGGGGGTTCCTTTAATGGTCTCTTTTTTAAACTTCCTGAATTCTCACATCCAGCTTAAAAAGTACTCTTTTCTGTACATAAATTTATCTGAAAACCTACTACAGTCATTCTGCTGAAGATTTCAGTGCAGCAGTAACTCCAACTATTCTAACACAAAGCTCATACATGCTGCACACACACTGAATGCCTTGGTGTTTTCAGCATGCCAATTGTTGCATAGTTGTACAGCCACTGTGTTTATATTCTAACAACTCACTGCTGTCTGCAAAATGCCAGGACACAATAAACACACTAAAACCCCAGAAGCACAGCAGAAATCCTATCCAAAGCTTGGCTACTCAATCCAACATTTGGACTGAGTCACCAACAGGATAAAAACTAAACAGTGGGGAAAATAATCCTAAATTGCACACACACAAAGCCCTCCTAGAGCTGTTACCAAGTTCACTCTCCTGAAATCAGACTGGAGTAGAAAAGAGGAGATGGTACTTGGAAGGTGCACATTAACCCCTGTCCTCATTTTCCACTTTTTCATAGGAAAACATGCACAGGATGTACCAGGGATTTAAAATTACAGCCATGGGCAAATCCTATTCTTTCTACTCATACAGCCAAGAGAAGCTGCACTCAATCATCTCAGAACCACGTTCATGAGGCCCAGGAGATGAGGAGCATTTCCCTTAGTCATGTCTCCAATCCAAAGGAGAGCTGACTAACTGCACTCATTACACGCTGACACAGCAGCCTAACGAGCCAGCCAAGCCAAATCCTCGGCTTCAGCTGCTCCCCAATGACTTTGAAGATTCCCTTGACACTACACAGGCTGTTAGTTCCTACACAACCAAACATGCAGGTTACATTCTTTCTCCAATACCTGGACCCAAACTGGACACAAGAAAAATCATCGTCTTCATTTTCTTCATCACTACTGTCCTCAGACACATCAGAAACAGCAAGAAGGAGGAGGGAGAAAGGGTTGTCGTATAAACTACCACAACAGAAATGGAAAAGGCCATCAGATTTTTTTAAACCAGAAGAAAAAGTAAATGGTAGCTTTTCTTTTTAGTCTGTCAAAGATCATCTTCTCTAAACATGCAGACAACAGGTAACTCCATGTTAGTAAAACCATACTAACATGCTCTGTTACACTATTACAAGTTATTCGGGTATCATAAATACCACACATTTACAACCCCAAAACTGAGAAAGAATTGTTGAGAACCAAATAAAAATTATGGCTGAAGTGGAAAGTTTAGACGTGACTGAATAATAAATATTACAATTCTAAGCTAATGACTTCAAAGCCGTGGTCTCAAAACCTCGTGTCTTTGTTTCTCCCTCCTGCAGGAACAAGGGATCCCAGGAACAGCCAAGAGAGGAAAAGCAGTGGTACTGAGCCTGGTATTCTGACATATGCTTATCTGTAACTTAAATCTGTGCACCAGGGAATCGAATCCAACCCAGTCCAGCAAGTAACAGCATTCAACAAATTAACTAAGGCCCTACTAAGAAAACTGATTTTGGAGCAGGAGTTTTATGTGGTTTAACATCCAGCAGCAGCAACTGAACAGAAAGCTTATAGTTTAACTGGAATGGATCTACAGAGAGGAAGAAATTCAAACCATATTGCTACCTTTAAAGTAATTACATCACACCTCAAATGCACACAAGCAGGTCAAAGACACCTGGTTAGCAAGTCAAGGTATTAGCACAAACCCAAACACAGAAATCAACTGGGAGTGAGTAGGGTGAGCTCAGCACAAACAGAAGCTCTTCCACCCTGCAGGCTGATGCCACACCCTGCAGAGCACACAGCAAACACACTCTGCTCTTGTGCAATACCTAGGAGGAATCCTGCTCTGAAAGGAGGGACGCCTGCGCAGGGCACCGGGTGAAGCAGCAAACACAGGTGGGCCCATGGCTGAGGGCCTGTGCCTGGATGGGATGGCTGGCATGGCTGGAGGGCCAGCAGCCACGCCTGGAGGGCTTGGAGAGCTAGATGGGATGGAAATGCTCAAGGAACGAGGGGTGGCAGCAGCAGCAGAGGCTCCGGGATGGGCCACGGTGTAAGGGCGGTACCGAGGAGAGGAGGGCTGTGGCCACCAGGGGCTGCCTGCTGGCCCCTGAGAGCTGGCAGCCACTGCTGGGGTGGCAACTGAACTGGCTGGTGGGGTAAGAGATGAACCAGTCATTGGTACATAGCTTGTGAAATTGGTAGGAGGAGCTGGACTAGTCCCATAGAGACTAAACCAGTTACAGGGGAAAAAGAAAAAAAAAAAAGCAACAATTTAGGATATGCAGAAAAAGGGTGAAAAAGATAAAATGAGCAAGAGAAGTTCTTGCCCTTCTGATGACTCTTCAGCAATATTTTTGCAGCTCACACATATTATTCTTTTCTACAGTTGTTGAATAAAATTATGTCACAATCTACACACTTTAAAAAATCATGGCCTTTGTGATGCAAGTTAGGGATATTTCTCAGCAGAAAACAGTTACATCTGGCTTGAATCTATCAATACATTCCTAGCCATGGCAGTGTAATAAAAAATGGTGAAATGCAGAAACATTCATATGAAAAAGAGTGAAAAAATTTAAAAATCCATTCTATTTATTGTTCTTGGGACACTTCTACGCCCTTTTCTCTCTTCTAGTCTACCATGAGTATTCAAGTGAAATCAGCATTCAGTTACAACCAGAAGTCACCTGGATAACGAGCTGGAACCAAAGGAGCCCACATTACAGAACATGGGGCTGCTTCCAGGGTTGGAGCCCATGTTTAGGATGAGGCTTCTGTCAGGAGAGCGGGCAGCTGCAGCAATGGGCTGGGACGTGGCTGTCAGGCTGGCAAAGGGGTTCTCATCCCTTGCCTGGGTGGACATCATCAGCACTTCCATCAAAATCTGCCCAATCAAGTCCTTAAAATCTGCAAACACTGTGAAGAAGAAGAGACTCAATATCCTCACCTCTGACTTCATCTACACACGAGTCAGGTGTAAGCATTGGCAGAGAAAAAAAGGACAGAAAGAGATTTCTGTGAATTGAGTGCTGGTTTTGGCAAAAACAACCCACTGACACACCTGCAATTATCCCTGTCTATATTAACCTAAGTTCTGGAGTTACAGCTACACAAAAAGCACAGTCTTTATGGAAAAAGCAGGAGATCAGAGATGACCTAATGCTCCTATAGTTGCTATTAAAGTTTTCTTGTGTGTTGCACTTATATTTTCCCACCCTGCTGTTGAGCTGGGCAAGTCATGTCAAAGAACAGAAAACAAAACATGCACATACCCCACACACATAAAATAACAATTGTTTTGGTCATATCTTACAGCTAGAATATATAGCCTATTACATAAAACAACTGGGAATTTTTAGCTTATCAAATTAACTGCTAGATGTCTACTATGATGCAAGACAATCCTTTAATTTACTAAAACGTTTCTAAAAAAATAAACTGAAGCAGCAATGTGCTCTGGATCAGCACATAAGTTTGAGGACAAAAAACACAACCAACAAGAGGAGGGAGGGCAATTGATTGAAACAGGAGCTGTGAGCCATCAGTCCCACATTCCTGCTCCAAAATTCCATTTCCTGCTACATCTGCTGACAGCAGATGTTGAAACTGAGCAAAGACCACAAGTAGGTGGCTCTGGTATTGCAGCAAAGGGATAAAAAGGTAAAAATAAAGAGTGGGGAACATGCCACACAAGAGAAACAACCCTGCCAGTGCCTCCTGCTCAGGTACTCACCTTCCTTTGGGTTCTGCTTGAACTGGGCAGAGAGGGAATTCAGGAAAATAACATCTCTGTCTCGGTCCTTCCAGGAGACTCTGAAGATCTTACAGACCAGCTGTAGAGCTTGTTCCTCTGACACTTCTGAGCCCGACAGAGGCTCCTGGGGGAAACAGAACAATCAACACCTGATTTGCACTTGTATTGGTCAATGCACAGTCTGCTTCAGATCTTTGTTAAGAGGCTTCAGTTTTACTCATAATGGCAGATTTTGTGTAATCATTTTCACCGACTTTATCACTCTATCAATATTCCACTGGTTTCAAGTACTTCTACCCCCTGCCTAGTTCTGAAAAAAAGTTTCATTCATGACATCAGAAAAGAAAATTTCCTGCTCGTGTATGAGGACAACGTTGTTTCCCATCCACTTCATTTCTGCATCCCTAAATGAGTCAGAAGTATCAAACCAGGCTGCAAAGGTGTGATTTCCTTTCCTTGCTCCCCTCCAGCCCTGACTGGAGCAGTGCCCTGATGCCAGAATGTTCAGTGCCCACTGCAGCTCGGGATGCATGGAAGATCCTGCAGCAGCACTGCAGCTCCAGGCCAGCCCCACCAACTGACCTCAATACTGACAGGGCACAACAAACAGAGATACCTAATGAGCACTGCAAGCTTTGTGGTAGAAACTCCACTAAACTGATGTCCCATTTCTTTATGGCTCTGTTTCATGTGGGCCTTGAAGTCACATGATAAAAAGGGCAATTTGAGGAGTGGATTAGAGCTCTGTACTTGCTTTCTTTTTCTACTTTAAAGGGTTCATCTCTCTAAAACTTGATAGCTAATTCTTAAAATTTTCTTTCAATATCTAGAAGAACACCTTATTACACAACATTGCTCCAGCACACATAACACACGTTTGAAGCAGGACTTTGTGAGTAGGCCACCACGTGCTACACAAAGAAGATGCAACAATCTTCAAAGTTGCTTAAAAATGTTTCCTCAGGCCTACCTGTATTAAAAAATTGATGTGGGCATTAATAGTTCACTTTTTTGTAGGATATAAAATAAATTATTTTCTTCTTCTTTTGTAAACCAATTTGAGGCACCAAAATGCAGCTTTGATATTTGAAGTTTTGACCTTTTTTTTTTCTTCAAGCAGATTTTAATGAGAAAATGCAGTGAAGAAATTGTTTGCAGATGACACCTGAGGGTTGGCTCCAGGATTGGTTCCATCCCCTCAAAAGCATGTGCTCAGTATTTGGAGGTAACTGAGCTGACACCTCCTGCAGGCAGCACCACCCAGGCTCACCTTGTCCGTCAGACTCCGCTTCTCGCGGCGATCGTTCTCATCAACCTCCATGTTCTCAATTCCTGAATCCACATCTACCTGGGACATACTGCAAGTGCAAATTAGAGAAAAAGATCATTAACGTGTAGAAAGTTGCAGACAGTCCTCTGTAAGATGCTGAGTGTCCCCTTAAGCAGATGCAGCAGAGAAAGCAATGCACATACAACAATTAAAATCACTGGTTGATAAATGTTTCTCATGTAACATTTGAGTTCTAAATTTCTTCAGCAGGCAATACAAACTACACAGCTATCACATCCCACAATCTTTTTCTTTTAAATAGAGTAGCTGAATTATCTCCACCAGACATGCTCATCTCTTATTGTCTAACATAATGCTTTGTCTTTTACCACTTTAGGTCAGGAATTCCCATTAAAACCAGGCTAAAAAAGCCTTCCAGTGGTTTAAACAGTGTATGATTTCCAAGCATTAACCCTGCTGCTTTAACACAGCTGGGAGGGAGGAAGGGCAGAGCCTTGTCCTGTAAGAGGTCTGAACACCAGCACTGTGCCACATCTGCCAGCTGTCACAAGCTGCTTTCTTTACCTTTTCTCACAGGAGACACTATCAATGTCCATGCTCTGAGACCGAGAGAGGGACTGAGATTGGGTTTCAAGGCTGTTTGATGGAGAACTGCTGAGGGAACTCACTCCTTCGCTGCTCTGGCTTCGGTGGGCTACTCCTAAAGAAAAGGCACCACCAACATTACTGCTACAGCACTGAGAAGGCACTACACATTATTTGGATGGAAAAGGAGAGGAAATACTGTATTTCAATCCAGTTCTTAGCCATTCTTGGCAGTGCATTAGAAAAGAAAAGTTAACAGCCACATTTGACTACAGATAATCACATTTCCTACCTCCCCTTGCAGCAGCAATGTAGGAATGCTTACCTGCATTAAACAAAGATAAACTTGCATCCATGAAGTGCTCAGAGATTCACTCCTATAAAAATTGGTATCTTATAAGATTGCTCTGTCTACTACCCTAAGACATTGTCAGAGCCCCTCTAAAGACTGTCCTATCACAATAAGACTTAACACTGGGCCATTACAATGGAGTTACATCATCAGCTATAAAGGGACAACAAATATTCCTTGAGTCCTTCATCTCTCCTCCTCCCTCTTCCCAAAGAAAATCCAACTAAGTCAGTGGACAAAGAGACCAGAGCAAACAGGGCTCACCAGGGCAAAGGACTGCACTGTTCTGCAACCCCTTGGGTCTTACTCTTATAGCCAGGAAAATGCACTTTAACAGTGATGCTGCAGCGCTCATTAACAGCTCTCCTCAACCCTACCTACCATCTCTTCACACAGATCTTCCAGGATTTACTTGCACCTGTAGTCTGCTAGATCAGGTACACAATAAAATACCTGACAGCTGCAGTTCCAGTTGTCACTGATAACATTGGCTTTAGGTTCTCTGAGGTATTTTCAAAATACATACAAAATAATGATATTTTCCATGAAATTGATTCCTATGTCTGATCTCACCATGACAGGCAACTCCTGAGAACAATGGATGCTTACAAGGACACTATTCTGCTGGAGCTGCTCTCTGTGTCCAAATGAATTAAAATCCTCAGCAGTCACTTTAGTCTGCTGCTGAAAGGAACTGCTGCAAACCACACAGCATTAGCTGAGTCTTCATTTATGCTACATAAACACACAAGATAAACTGTTATGAATATTTTTTCCTGATCCATTCCCCAGTTTAACCGTATCTCTTACCCTGATGTGAAAAAGACACACGTTATTAAATAGCTGCACAAATGGCACTGGAGGAAGCAAACACCAGGACCTCCTGCCTTGGGTCATCAGCCAATCCAGCCAGCACAGTCAGGCACTGTCCTGGGGAATTCTTAACACAGAAATCTCCAAGCTCTTCCCTGTCTGAGCACTCCAAACCTCGATAAACCTGCCTGCCAATACCTGAGCATTTCTACCTCCAGGTACACATTTGCACACCTCCTGCTCTGCTGGCAGAATTGCTTACCCAGTGGATGGATCAGGACCTCCTCTGTTTGAAAAGTAAACATTTACTTTTCCTATGTTAGTTTTCACTTGCATCAAGCCCAGATCCCCCTCACCACACAGCTGCCACAGACAGCAGGGGAACAAATACTCCTTTCATCAAGAGTCAGAGCTCAGATGGATTAAAACAGTCATGCAGCCCAGGCTGAGGGAACACAGTGAGTGAACTCTGCACCATTCTTCAAAAAAAGAAGTCACCTCCACCTCTGGGTTGCTGTCTTTATCATGAGGACAATACAGAGTGTTAAATTCCATCTGCAATGAGTTTATCTCAGGAAATGCTTTTGATAGCTTTTCTCTGTCCTGCTTTGGATGCAAGGAAACAAAACAAGTAGGAAGGAGTCACTTCTAGGTATTTCTGAACAGCACTGTAACTGAACTACAAGATTTAAGCTTTAAAATACTCTGCTTGCCAAAGGGAAAAGCAGAAAATTCAAGAAGCAAGTAGATAAATGCTAATGAATTCTGCAAGCTCATCAAGGAGCATTGGAAAAACATTATTTCTATTAAAATATTAGAAATCATATTGAAAACCTGGTTAGAAACATCTTGACATTTGTTTTGACATTGGTTTGAGAACCTCTCAGCTTAGTAACACAACGTGCAAAACCATTTAAGTTTTCAGATAAAGATCACAATACTGGAAAACATACCAATTTGTCCTGATTTCCAAATCAGATAATTCGAAATCAAAATTAATTTCTGTTAGGTCAAATGTGGTATAAATACATTAATTTTGTCTTCAGCTCTCTACAGAGCAACCCTCCCAACTTCCCCTGCTTGCTGCACTTGTACGATTTTAACAGATCAGTTATTTGTTGCATCTTCTGAAATAAATACAATTTCTAAATACCCTGCCTGCATTCCCTCCAGTAAATAGTGAAGTTGGCAAAGTAATACAAAGCAGAAAGCAAATACTTCATTCTTACACGACAATGCCCAGTCACAGCTTGCTATTTTTAATTGTGCTGAATGCTTGGACCTAAAGATCAAAAATTAACTTGACTCTGATTGCTAAAATGTACCTCGAAACCAATCAATAGAAACTGTGTTGCAAGACTTGAGAGGGATTTTCCAGTCTCCTTGACACATCTTTTCCACAATATTGTGTAATAATAAACTTTATTACAAACTTCTTCAAGCTTTGGTAACCCATATTGTAAATGCCATAAGTTTACCCACACCTGGAAAACAACTGCAAATGGAATAAATGGAAAAACATTTCACCATTTATTACTTGGAAGTCTAAAACAAAAAGCACCTTCATTCACCGTTTTCAACATTTGTTTCTGAAAATGACTTTCGGCAAGAGCAGCGGCAGCGCCAGTGCCCTGCACAGTGAGGAGCTGTGGGGACGGGCACAGAGCCACCGTGGGCACCCAGGAGCTGCCGGCCTACCTGATGCCCCGATGGGAGAGGTAGCTGGGGTCATGCTGTGCACGTTGAGGCCCAGGCTGTGCGAGGGTCCCGGCGCCGGCGGCCCCGGGGGGGTCTCTCTCTGCGGGGACGTCAGGGGCGTGCTGGGCTGGGACGAGGAGCCTCCTGCCAGCCGTGCCAGGCGCCTGCGCCGGATCTGCGGGGAGAGAACCCC